AAAGCAAGATTTCGAGCTTCTTGCATGAGAAGTTGCTGACTCCTATGAACTTTGTGAGGCCAAGCTTCTGACATTCCTCCATGACTTCCCATATTGACTTAAAATCCATGGGTAGAAGGTCCTCTTCCTCTTGGTTAAAGGGATGTTCACTTCCCGGCTTCAAACTTACCGGAAAATGAATCAGATACAGATCAAGGTACTCCAACCCTAGATTCCTGCATGCATAAATGGATACAAACTATTGAAATGGGCACCATACGTATGCATGTGAATCTATGCTTTTAACTTGTAACCATACATAGGTGCGTGATGTGATGTCCTTTTCGTTTGGTTTTTACCAATCACATTATATATCTGCATTCTGCATGGCACTGGCCACTATCTCTCTCTTTTTTTTATCTCCAAAACCCCATAAATAGAATTAAACAAAGGAATTTTCTGTTGTGCTCCAGAGTATCAAATACTTAATTAGGGCTTTCTAACCGTTAGATGTTTGCACAAAAATACAAAAACTAAAATTTAATCGTTAAAAATACAAAAACGATTAATGATGACTTTCTAACTGCCCAAGTTGCACCCCTATTGCTTCCCATATGATACCTAACTTCAAATTCTCCACCACGTAGGTTAAATAAATTAGTTTAGAACATTGTTTGTATAAAAAAAAATTTACTATTATTCACAACGTTGTGAGAAAATAGCTATCCAATTAAAAACAATCAAGTCACTTAGTACTACGATCTAATGATATTTTTCTTCACTAGTAATTGAGAAGTCTTTTTTTAGTATAGATAATATTGTTTGTTAAAAAAAATAATCAAATATAATTTCTAGCTATTGGTTTTTCAAATTATTAGTTTTTTTTTTTTTTTAGTCCGTAATATTGGGTTTGCTTCCATAAATTCAAGTCCAATCGCAGTTTGTAGCACACCAAATTTAAGCCCGATGTGAAGATCCATTACCATTATTTCCTACTGGATTAATTTACCTCTGATACTGTTATAATCTGAGAGAATTACTGTTAATTATCTCGTGCACAATGATTTCTCTCCTGTAGCATTCGTGAGGCTGCAGGCATACAGTTTAAACTCTAATATAGTTCGAATTAAACCACAAATACACCTTTAATTATTTATCGACATGCTTTGGAATCTATCGATATGATTTGTCCGTTTTGAATGGACTTATTATTTAGGATTTCAACAGGTAAGCTTGTCCATAACATATGATTACAAAATGCCCTACCAAGATCTTCATGCTGATCAAATCCCACTAGTTACATATTTCATCTGTTTTCAACCAAAAACCTCATTTTTAATTACCTAGAACTCCCTATTAAAAAAATCACAAGTTATAAATTTACAAGGATTGTATTTAGGTGAATTTTGAAAGGGAATGGATTTTCGATAAAGGAATGCTAGCAACTTTTTTATTTTCGACTATTTTTTGCTCTTCTTCTCATTCTTTAATGTTGAATGGTAATTCAAACCGTCTATTTGTTAGGTCATTCTTTAAGATTATTTCTACAAAAGTTAACTAAACTGGTAGCATTAGTCTTCTAACACTTATCCAATAAATAAACGAACTATGTTTCTCATTAAACAATAGACTTTTGCCATAAAACCGAAATTGTTTGGTGGAATGATAAAACTACATATATTTTAGATTTTTTTTTTTTTTTTTTTTTTTTGCAAATTAATCTTCAAAAAATGTCCTAAAAATTAAACTGTTTCATTTATCGAATAGCGTTTTAAAATGAAAATGAAGGTGTGAAAATCAAGAACTATACTGAAAATATGAGCGAAGTAGTATTGGGGTGTGACTTTTGATGCGAAAGGGTTTGTACAAATGTAGAAATAAGGGTAAGACCAATCTGTTGATGGCACACCAAAGGGTCCCTGACTCAGATATCACTTCCGACTAATTGTATTTTTACATCATCCAAATGATTGGTGGTGACCCCAAGAACTACCACATCCCTTCAATTTTGTCGCTCCAATTTCAATTTCAATTTCCTCTTTCTTTATGTGAATATTTGCCAAGAAAATATTAGGATTAGAAAAAAAAAATTGAAAAAAAAAGGAGAGGAAATCCTATGCAAATGATGAAGACGATTCCTTTGGCGTGCAAGTCTTTGTTGGGGTAAAAGGTGTTTTTAAGTTTCATGGCTTTTGATGGGATGGGGAATTTATCATTTCATGGACCGTCAAATATTGCCTAAACTTGAGAGGCTTAAACTAGTATGATTTATCGAGTGTACATTTTGGTTTTGTTTTATTTTATAGTTGATAGAAGTATACGATTCATTGTATATTGAAAATGCGTTAATCACAATAAAATGAACTAAGAATTACAATAAGGCATCGAGCTGACAAAAATTAATGATTTGAACATATAACAAGTTACTGTTAAACAGAATATAGATTCGTTTTTGTCTCAAAAGTGGTCAGGCTCCATCCACTACAACTGTAAAAAGGTTTAAAGGGAAGGGTTTTTCTCCTCAAAGTTGACCAAGCTGTGAAGATTTTTTCTCTTCAGGCTCTGATCCAGAAGTTGTTCTACAGTTTATGACGGCCTTTCCACTTGCCTAATTGCCCTCGTTGCTCAGAGCACACTGAGAACGACAACGGAAGTGATTTTTCACATTATTTTTTCTCTCATCACACATCGATTTCTATTTATTTTTTACGATCAGATCAAATAAATTAAAATAATAAATAATACAGTGGTGTTTAGAAGAAGAAAAATAATGAGTGAAAATCATTTCCTTATTTATACCGAGCGGGAAAGGAGCAAAATCGATTAATGTTGAAAACGAACAAAAGTTTTATATAAAAAGGGCAAATTGGGGCACTAATTATAAATTCAATAATTACAGATTCTAAGACCTTTATTATGGTCAAAATGCAATCCTCCAATATCATTAGTTGTTTCTGTATATTTTGAAGTGAGTGGATTTCGTATATTTTGAAGTGAGTGGATTTCGATGCTTCCCAGTTCTCTCATTGGCTCTATGCCTTTAAGGAATTGGGTAGAAAAATGTTAGGAGGCACCAATCTGCTTGATTTTATGTGCTCATCTATCCCACGCTAGGATAAGACCATTTTCGGAGTGAGGCAAAGGCTTTTCTTTACTTTTTTTTTTTTTTTTAATTTAGGAAAATTAATGAAAAGTTAAAAAAAAATTCATTTTTATTGAAAAACCATTTTTAAAGGTATAGTGAATAATACTAAGAAAATGTATAAATATGATTTTTCGTTAAAAATGAACAGTACCATGAATGTTTTGTTAAAACTTCATTTTTCTTTTAGAATTATGCTTCCATTAGTTACCTAAATTATCATAAAATTCAATTGCTTCAGCAGCTGACAATTATTTAGTTGTGCAGATGTCATGATCTCAACGTTGCTCTTCTTTTATAAAGTATAGGCATCGAGGGATCATCGGTTGCGGTCTCCTACCTCACCACAATAATGTTGAGATACCATCATTAATCAAATGATTGATGTGAAGTGCTTAGCAATACTGTCCAACCAGTTAAAATATAATTTCACATTTTTTTTTCCTGTTTCATTTTGCCGTTCATACTAAAGATCATCATGCAAAATTGATCTTCACTTGTTAAATTTACCACTCATCGATTACTCTTGGTTAGTCGCGAGACACGCACTAACAACTAATAATCTTTACTTTGTTATTTTATTTTAAACAAGATGATATTTCAAATTACTTTAATCAACAAATAAAGAAATTCGAACTTAAGTGCAAAAGAATATACATTGTCCTGATCAACTGACCTAGCGAACATTTGTGATACAACGATGTGAACTTTAATGAAAAGTTCCCGGTACTGTTCACTTTAATGAAAAACCATATTTTTACACTAAAAAGTCAATCTTAGTACTATTCATTTTACCTTTTATTTGTCCTTATTGTTAAAACTCAAAGTTATTAAACCATTTTCATTAGTTTTCCTTATAACGAATGACAATGTTGTCAATTATTTAGTTTGTTTGAGGCCAATATGATGGATGGCTTGAAAGATCATCATAATATAGGCAAGCAGTAGGATAGTGGCTGACTTTACATATCAGAACCCATCAGAACCCAAGAGAAGATGAATCATTCCATCAACTGTCAAAGTTAAACAAAGCACAAAAATGGTCCGAAAAACCAGCCATAAAGGTCATTACTTTAAATTCTGAGATTAAATGGTTTAAGAACTTTAAGCCAATCCAATCCGGGTTGGAGAGGATGAATAGTATTTCGAATACGATAAAGGAAAAGCAAAAATTGGAGGCATCATAACCTCCCATGCCCAATGCCATTAACCCACAGACGGCAGTGATGATGTTGCCTCCTGTATCTGTGCGTGGGCCTCTCTCTGTTTCTCCTCACTCCCTTCCCCTGCTCTCTACATTTTTATCTAAATCATTCCTTCTCCTTCACATTTCAGCCTTTGGTCCCACACTACTCTAGAGTATATACAACCATGTATCGATATCTCTCCTAACAATCTCATCTCCCTTTGGAAATACTATAAAACCACACTACACTGGCCATCAAGTGGATGAAATACATGCAGCATCAGCATGATTGTGGAATCCCCATAGGGACAGTGTGTGTGTGTGTATTACAATTTACATATGTAGCTCATTTCACATTCCTACTAGGGAACATTCTCACGCTCACTGACAGAAAGTGGCTCTTGATTCATATACACAGACCAATATTATTTATTTTCTATATATATATATATATATATATATATATATATACACTATTTTTTTAATATATATCGCCGATCTTAGATAGAACTTGTCTGTAGAATGTGGATCCTACCCCTACTGAGTCTCTGACCAAAAGTCAAATCAATCTCTCACTACATTCTCCTCATTCTCTCTCTCTACAGTTGATGCATTCTCCTCAATCTCTCTCTCTCTCGCTACAGTTGATGCTACCCAAGAACCGTATAAGTATAAACCCACCACAAACCTCAATCCAACTCCCTTCTTTTCTTATTCCTTTCCACTTTCCGTTCTTTCCATTTTATTAAACACAGAATAAAGCAACTCCTTTTCCTAAAGCTCCCTCCTTTCCTTTCCCACCAACATTTTCCCATCATACTCACTCACTCACACCCCTCTCACTCTACACATCTTTCGCACTCCTCTCTCTCTCTCTCTCTCTCAATTATCTTCCGGAGAAATGAAACTTGTTTCATCAATGGAGAACTTCAATCCAGCTCAGTTTTTTCTTCATCTTTCTGCAGTACTTGTATTGGTAGGACTTCACCTTGTTCCTGTTTCCACAGCTGACCAACAAGTCACTCCATCGATCAAAACCGACGCAGTTTCTCTTCTCAACTTCAAAAAGATGATTAACAAGGACCCGAATGGTGTGTTGTCCGGTTGGAAGCTCGGCACCAGTCCATGCAGCTGGTATGGAGTTACATGCTCCTTGAACCGGGCAACTCAGCTCGATCTTACCAGTTGTTCTCTTGTTGGTACAATCTCTTTTGAACCCTTGGCCTCTCTAGACATGCTTTCTGTCTTAAATCTGCCTTCCAATAAATTCAGTGTAAACGCTACCTCTTTGCTTCAACTCCCATATGCTTTGAAACAACTCGATTTATCGTTCAACGCACTTTTCGGTGTTCTTCCTGAGGGTGTTTCCTCAAAATGTCCAAATCTTGTCTCTGTGAATCTTGCTTTTAACAACTTAACCGGCCCTCCACCCAAAGATCTCTTGTTGCATTCCGACAAACTTCAAACTCTCGACATCTCTTACAACAATCTAACCGGGTCAATTTCTGGTCTGATAATTGAGAAATATTCTTGCCCTTCTTTGTTGCAGCTTGATTTGTCAGGAAACCGTATAACGGGTTCCATTCCTATGTCCTTGGCAAACTGCACCAGTCTCAAAACTATGAGTTTATCGACCAACAACGTGACAGGCGAAATCCCAAGATCGTTCGGGCAACTCCGCAGTCTACAGAGATTGGATCTTTCTCACAATCAGATAACCGGTTGGATACCTCCTGAATTAGGAAATGCATGCGGTTCGCTTGCCGAACTCAAGCTTTCGTTTAACAACATTACTGGCCCAATTCCAGCCTCTTTCTCCTCGTGTTCTTTGCTGGAGGCTCTCGATCTCTCCAACAACAACTTAACAGGCCCCCTGCCAGATTCTATCTTTCAGAACCTCACCTCCTTACAGAGCTTGGTGCTGAGGAATAACATCATCACTGGATCACTTCCGGGCTCCATATCAGCTTGCAGGAGCCTACAGGTTATAGACTTGAGCTCTAATAAAATATCTGGCGTCATCCCACCAGATATATGTCCCGGGGCCTCCTCACTTGAGGAGCTGAGAATGCCGGACAACCTCATTGTAGGCGAAATTCCTGCTCAACTATCACAATGTTCTCAGCTGAAGACGATCGATTTTAGTTTGAACTATCTCAACGGCTCAATTCCAGCTGAGCTTGGGAAGCTGGAGAATTTGCAGCAGCTAATAGCATGGTACAATGGCTTAGAGGGGAAAATCCCACCAGACTTGGGAAAGTGCAAGAATCTCAAGGATATTATTCTCAACAATAACCATCTGAGTGGTGAAATCCCAGTTGAATTGTTCAGCTGCAGCAATCTTGAATGGATATCACTCACAAGCAATAAACTCAGTGGTGAAGTCCCAAGGGAATTTGGCCTTTTGACACGACTGGCGGTTCTACAACTTGGGAACAATAGCTTGAGTGGCAAGATACCAGGAGAGCTTGGAAATTGCAGCAGTTTGGTTTGGTTGGATTTGAACAGCAACAAACTCACCGGAGAGATCCCACCTCGACTTGGGAGGCAGATCGGGGCCAAAGCACTGAGTGGAATTCTCTCCGGCAATACTTTGGTGTTTGTACGGAATGTGGGGAACTCTTGTAAAGGAGTGGGAGGCTTATTAGAGTTTGCGGGAATCCGACCTGAAAGGCTTCAACAGGACCCAACATTGAGGACTTGTGATTTCGCCAGATTGTACTCTGGCCCTGTCCTGAGTCTCTTTACAAAATACCAAACACTGGAGTATCTTGATCTATCTTACAATCAGCTTCGCGGGAAAATCCCGGAAGAAATGGGGGACATGATTGCATTGCAAGTTCTTGAGTTATCCCACAACCAGTTATCAGGTGAGATTCCTGCATCACTTGGCCAGCTCAAAGATTTAGGGGTGTTTGATGCATCACACAACAGACTGCAGGGTCACATCCCTGATTCATTGGAGAACCTATCTTTCTTGGTGCAAATTGATTTGTCCAACAATGAATTAACTGGCGAAATTCCCTCGAGGGGTCAGCTGAGTACGCTTCCTGCTACCCAGTATGCTAACAACCCTGGACTCTGTGGAGTCCCATTGCCTGATTGCCAGAGCAGCAATGACCAACCAGACACCACTCCAAGCGATCAGGATGAAGGCAAACGAAGCCGAAGGCCATCAGTTGCTTCATGGGCTAACAGCATTGTTGTGGGGGTTCTGATTTCTCTTGCTTCTGTCTGTGTTCTGGTTGTGTGGGCAATTGCAATGCGGACGAGGCGAAAGGAAGCGAAGGAGGTGAAGATGCTTAATCGCTTGCAAGCATCCCATGCGGCATGGAAGATTGACAAAGAGAAAGAACCCTTGAGTATTAATGTTGCCACTTTCCAAAGACAGTTGAGGAAGCTCAAGTTCTCCCAACTCATTGAGGCAACCAATGGCTTCTCGGCAGATAGTCTTATAGGGTGTGGAGGTTTTGGGGAAGTGTTCAAGGCAACGCTGAAAGATGGATCAAGTGTTGCAATCAAGAAACTTATACGGCTGAGCTGCCAAGGTGACCGTGAATTCATGGCCGAGATGGAAACTCTGGGGAAGATCAAGCATAGGAATCTCGTGCCTTTATTGGGTTATTGTAAAATTGGTGAAGAGAGGCTGCTAGTATATGAATTCATGGAGTACGGAAGCCTCGAAGAAATGCTCCATGGAAGAACAAAGACGCGTGACAGGCGGATGCTAACATGGGAGGAAAGAAAAAAGATTGCAAGAGGTGCAGCGAAAGGACTGTGTTTCCTCCACCACAATTGCATCCCTCACATCATACACAGAGACATGAAGTCAAGCAATGTATTGTTGGACAGTGAATTGGAAGCAAGAGTTTCTGATTTCGGAATGGCAAGGCTCATAAGCGCTCTTGACACACACTTGAGTGTAAGCACTCTTGCAGGCACTCCTGGTTATGTTCCACCAGAATACTACCAGAGTTTCCGCTGCACTGCCAAGGGTGACGTCTACTCATTTGGGGTTGTGCTCTTGGAGCTTGTGACCGGAAAACGCCCAACAGACAAGGATGATTTCGGGGACACTAACTTGGTCGGATGGGCGAAGATGAAGGTGAGAGAAGGGAAACAGATGGAAGTGATAGACCAAGAGTTACTTTCGGTAACTAAAGGAACTGATGAAGCAGAAGCAGAAGAAGTGAAAGAGATGGTGAGGTATTTAGAGGTGACACTTCAATGTGTTGACGACTTCCCATCAAAGAGGCCTAACATGTTGCAGGTGGTGGCCATGCTGAGAGAGCTGATATCTGGATCAGCATGTGGAAGTAGTAATAGCGCTTGAAATTTTGAAACAAGTCCATGTTTCCTGTATGTTTATCGATCAATATCATCATCGTTAATCGTTGTAAGAATATTATAACGTTTGTAAGAATTTGTTGATCAAAATCGATATCAAAAAAAAAATTCTTGTACGTAATTTGCACTATGAAGAAAGAGGATTCTTGCTTGCAGGTTCAGTTCGTAAACAGCTTGAGTTGTGGGTGGCATTTGGCAAACCTTGGACACTGTCGGACAATCGGACTTGCTTGTTTGGTAGGCAAACGTTGGATTTGAGTTTTTGACCCAGAGATTCGGTCAGCTTTTTACCAAACTCAAATATTGTGTTTGGGGCAAGTCGCTCATTCCAAAACATGGGCTTTGGTTAGGCTCCATTTGACATTTTAGAAACTTGGGTTGGGTCTAAATTGATGTAGAATCCGGCCCACTTGCAACTTAGGTTTGTAAAATAAAAAAATAAAACAACAAAAATTGTAGGTGCCTGGATTCAATACTACAACTCAGTACCGCGGATGCTTAAGCCATTAGATTTGATGTTTATAATAATTTAGATCTTTTACTTTTAATCTCAGTCATTCATTTTCCGTACTATTCAATGAATGAATTGATCATTATTGACACGAAACTTTATAAAGCAGGCGTATTGCTTTTTCATCTAATTACCCAGGTCGATATCGCATTCCAAGTCGGAGATTATTTTCTATATCTATACTACCTATTACTAAAATACTCATTGTCAATCAAAAGTTAAGGAAAATGTTATTATACCATTCAATGCATAATTGAAAAAATACTACCTTTTAACATAACACTTTTATCAACCACAAGTCAATGAAAAGACTATTACACCTTTCCATACATAATAGAAAGAAAATATCAAAAATAAAATCATGGGCATTAAAGTAATTTCATAAAAAAAATTGATGTTTTCTTTTTCTTTTCTCACCCACATGACATCAAAACACGCCTCTAAGTTAAAAGAATTAAGGGCAAAAGACTGTTTACTACCCTCATGTTCCGTGGTTTTCAACATTTAATACATCAATTTTTTTTCATCTCAGAGTCATACCTAAAGTGTAAATTTTGGGACAGTTTCATACATCCGTTAGTCAAACTGTTAAGTCTCCCGTTAAGTGATGACGTGGCGCACACGTGGACAATGACTGGGTGCCACGTGTCATTAAAAATATTAAAAAATTAATTAAATATTTAAAATTTAAAAAAAAAAAACAAACAAACAAACCAGCCATTTTCCCCCTTTCCCCCCGTGCCCCCAACCCAGAGGAAGAAGAAGGAGAAAAAAAAAAGAAAAAAAAATTGTCTGCCAACCCAGAAGAGGAAGAAGAAGGAGAAGAAGAAGAAGAAGAAGGAGAAAAAGAAGAAAGAAAAAAAACAGAATCTGCAACACCAGAAGAAGAAGAAGGAGGAGAAGAAAAAAAAAAGAAAAAAAAGAAAAACCGTCTGCCAACCAAGAAGAAGAAGAAGAAGAAGAAGAAGAAAATGAAGAAGAATAAGGAGGAAGAAGGAGGAGGAAGAAGAGGAAGAAGAAGAAGAAGAAAAAAACCTGAATCGGCAAAGATGAATTCGTCCCCCCCCCCCCCGCGACCCACTTGTTCCAACGCCTCCACAACTGTTTGGGTTTTGTTCCTGGGTTCTATGGGAGTCTAATGGTGGTGGTGGTTGATGAAATTTACTTCAAAAATGGCGGATCGCCGTCACACCACCTTCGTCACACCCCTCACGGTTTCTTCCATTTTCACCACCAAATCTCTCCAAATTTGGGATGTAATAGGTAGAGGGAAGGTCATGAACTTGATTCTAGGTGGTTAGGTAGTGCAATTTGCCGGAAAAATGGGTGAAAATTTGTTGGAAAACAAAGAATGATGCAGGTCGGGTCGCGGGTCAATGAGAGACCCGGCCGTTCCCCTCCTTCTCCCCTCCCTCCTTTCTCTCCTTTCCTCCTTCCTCATTCGCCACCTCATTTCTCTCTCCTCCTCCCCTTGGCCGAAACTCTCCCCTTTCTCTCCTGAAACTCTCTTCTTCCTCTCTTCCTTCTTCTTCCTCCTTCTTCTTTTTCTGGGTTGCAAACGGCTTTTTTTTTTTCTCCTTCTTCTTCCTTTGGGTTGGGGGCACGGGGGAGAGGGGGAAAATGGATTGTTAATTTTTTTTTTTAATTTTAATTATTTAATTAATTATTTAAATATTTTTAATGACACGTGGCGCCCAGTCATTGTTCACATAGATGCCACGTCATCACTTAACGGGAGAACTAATAGTTTGACTAATTGATGTATGAGACTGTCCCAAAATTTATACTTTAGGTATGACTCTGAGACAAAAAAAATTGATGTACCAAATGTTGAAAACCATGAAACTTGAAGGTAGTAAACAGTCTTTTGCCCAAGAATTAAAACAAAAAAAACCCTCCCACTACAACATTCTCTTTTTCCCTCTCTCACGTTTCTCTCCAACTTCTCTCTCTTTCCTCTATATTTAAAAAAATATATATATTTACACACACAGTGTGTAAGCTTCGTCTATGCAAATATATGCTAGAGAATATACATATATGACTTATTCGTTCTACATTACATTATATGTTTTGGGTGGGCAAACGAACAGTGACTTCACTTTATCTCCCCCGCTACCTCTTCTTTTCCTATGGCAATGCCCTTTTCTTCTTTTCCTTTTTTAATGTCTGACTTGCTGTGAGGTGAAATGGAAAGTTCCTTGCGGTTGATGTTGGAAAAAGCTTTTGTCTCCATTTATATTTTTTTTGTCATTATATTTACAGTAATGATAGGTAAACTAAATTTGTAAACTAAATTTAGAAACTAAATGATGTATTACCAATAAGAAATAAACACGTTAATTAACACTTAAGTAATTTTCTAATCATAAACTTCTATGTCATTTAGTTTACAAAATTTAGTCTACATATTTAATCTATCTAGCATTACTTTTATATTTAATTAAACAACTTAAAATGAAGTCTGTAGATCACATTTAATAATTAAATATATGTCAACACTGAATATTTATAAGTAGAGAGAAGAAACTGTTGGTACTGGGGTTCCAATATCTCGACTGAATATAGATATCCACGTTTTCACTCTGTGCAACACGAAAAAGGATGAACCGGGAAAGGAAAAAAGTAAGTTTAAAGTAAAAAGAGTGTTCGTAACACGCAAGGGGTATTTTAAAAAGAAACCCTACTGAGGAATGTACGTGAGAATACGAGGGTAAAGTTCTTTATCGATTAGGAATTAAATTATACAAGAGTTTATAAGAGATTGAGTTAGCATACGTGCAAAGCAATAGCTATACGTATGTGCTTCACATCATGTGTTGTCAACATGATATACTTAAAAATTCATCACACATAAAAAAATGCGTGAGAAAATAAGGATAAAATCATTACATTACAAATTAATTTTATGATATAACCTCAACTTGATCAATCTGCTATGCTACGTAGCCAATCCACTAGACAAAAAGGGAAGCCAACCATTAAAAGGTGGGAAAGAGGTGAACGTGGTCCTCACTCTCTCTCTCTCTCTCTCTCTACAAAGATAGAGAGAGAAAGAAAGAAAAAAGAACGAAAGAAAGACAACGACAAAGACAAAGAAAAGCTCAAAAGCTAAGAAAGTTAGAAATGGTGATGAAATGGGTAACCTCTTTTGAAATTTTCTTCAGCATTAAATCGTGTTTTATTTGTTTCAGAAATTAATGAAAAGGCACTGAGTGATCTGCTGCAGGACGACCCCTCCTTGTTTGAATCCCTGATAAAGTAGTATGTATGTGGAGTCCAAGTGATTGAGTGACCGAGCGAGCGAGTGAGGTCGTGTGTGTTCTGTATTGTTTAAGTTGACAGGGACGAGTAACTGAGCCTAACCATTCCAGCAGTGGCACTGAAAAACATGGTGGTCTTATAATTTTCTTGTAGCATTTAAAAGGATTACAAATGCAGTGAAAACGACCACCCATCTTTCTCTCCTCTCTACTTTTTTTCTCTCATTAAATTCAATTTGGTTTCAAGTGT